ACGATGACGCGTTAACAGAAAACAACAGACCTTGTAACGGAACAGACAATGAAGAAGAGCAGCATATTTGATATAACAACACCAGCTGCAGGACAGAAGCTCCAGAGCAGAGTGTGTGGTTGGGCAACAGTTACTTCCTCCAAAGACCAGAGAATACATCAGGGCAGGGAGGGCTGCAATCAGTGGCTAGGAAACAATCTATAAGACTAAGGTTCCTTGTAAACTAAGGGTGGTGCCTACAGTTTGGCTTATTCCACCTCTCGTGTGGCTCTTAACCATATATAAATTTCTTTTTACAAAGGTTAACAACTGGATTGACTGCTTGGCTCTGACATGTAGATGTGGCTTGGTCTCGCAAGGTGCTCCAGCAGGATTAGGCTCTATGGCAAAGAGAAACTAGAATTACCCATCTCCAGTCGCACGGAAGAGTACAAGTGTGCCAGGGTTAGGTTGGAGATTAAGGTAATCGAGCCAAGTGATTCTGTTGTGGCCAAGGTTGCACCAAGACTAACTACTAGGAGGATAATGTCACCTACTGAAGCAACCAAACTTCACAAGGCAACATTACTGCACAAGGACAGCATGGAGAGTCAGGCAGGTTTTGGTCTCTCTGGCATAAGTTCTTGGAAAAGGGCCATGAAACCTAAAAGAGGAAGGCTGGTTGTGCAGGAAATTTATCAACAGGAAGAAGAAACAATCCAGGCAAAGGCAGTGACTCAGATGGGAGTGGAGAAGAGGATGATCTCTTGAAAAGGTCTGTGGGAGATGGAGGAAGTTAGAGTAAGCTTCACTATTATGAATGTGTATGACGTCCTGCCGGGTGAAAAACCTTTGCAGTGTGGCTGAGAAGGGTCAGTAGTCAGTGGCTCTGGCTTAAATCCGGAGCACGCTGTGCAATCTTCGGCTGTCTTAGCCAAATCCTTCATCGTGAACAGAATCGTGATTAAAAAAAAAACGGTGAATGTGAGGGTGATTTCCAAGTCGGTAGCCGTCCAGTGTGACCGGGCTTGCGACAGCTTTTTGAGCTCTCTCTCGACCAAAGACAGCCTCTGACAGTCTACAAGCATGCTTGAAAAGCTACGACTCACCATCTGCAATCAGTCAATGAAAATACATATTTGGGTCGCTGCAGCAGCAAAACCCCTTCTCTCTGAGTTTCGGTTTCAGCTATGTTTAAAATGTAGAGTATAAACTACATACCAGTTTAAAATTATAAAGTATAACTCAAGTTTTACTAAAATAATTAAACTACCTTTTTTAGACCATCAGATAAACGGTGAAAGTTATAAGTGTATTCTGATATCCTTCATGTCTCTGAATTTCCTTGTCTATTTTACACCCTGCTGGAAAAACCAGCATAAACCAGCAGATGTTGTGTGTTGGTGCTGGTTTAGCTGATGGACAAGCATGCAATGCTAGTCCAGCATGGGGCACTGGTGACTGGATTGTGGACCAACATGAGATGCTGGTGATGAGATCCTGGACCAGCATCCTTCTGTTGCGCTCAGCATTCACGACTGCTACAATGCTGTGACACTTGGCTCTACCTCGCCCACAAGAACCTTGATTTCCATCTCTGTGAAAATGAAAGATAACTCAGTTCAACACACAAAATCATAATGACCAGTAAAGTGATTCCCACACATTAATTAACTAATTGAAAACGTCGACCTATAGATGATCAACAAAAAAGCTGCCAAAGTTTGATATTTCAGAAAGTCAGAAAACTATTGGTCACAAAGAGTTAGCACAGAATGAAAAGAGCAAAGAAAATACAAATCAAAAGTGTTTACAATTGTTGGCTGTTTACCAACCTTCATTTAGTTTTTATAAGGCATGCTTTCACGTGTAGGGTGAACCATCGCCTCTGTTTAAGTTGGAGTTTGTTTAAAAATGCACCGATATTTGGACACATAAACATATTTCTCTTCATCAAAAGAAAGTTTCAATAAACAATTTAGAAAACTATTTTCTTAGTATCGAGTTTGAACACATTCACAGATTCCACCAGGACATGTTTTTATTGGTTCACCTCAGATAAAGTCTGAACTTCAGTTTAAAAGAATTGGGATTTTCCTGACTGGTGGCTTCTCTAAACCTAAACCAAAGTCTGAAACCTTGTCAACTACTCAAGAAGAGAGATAATAAAGATAACATCTTTAATTTTGGCCACTGGGTGTCACTATATCTCTGATCAATATCTCTGTTAAAGGGTTCTTTAGTTATTTGCATATTCAAATTACAGTGACAAAACAAATCCTTTCCTCAGCTGTGCAGATTCTTCTTATGTTTGCAGAGCACACTCGAAAGGCAGAAAATGGGTTGGTGGGTCCTGAAGTAGGAGCAGCCGGTCTCTGGGTTGGTCCCACAGAGGATGCCGCCAGCAGCAGCCATCTTGGAAGTGGTGTCATCTTGGCACGGAATTTAGTTTCTCTTACATCTCTTCCCATCTTTGAATTTTGTTTTCAAATCTCCTTTAGAACCTCACCATCTTTCGTCTCTCTTCTCCTCTACCATGCAAAAAGTCAACATTTTGAATCTGAAAAATAACTAAAAATAAAACAAAACAAAAACAAACATTGAAGGTGCACCCATCCTTGCAGAAACACACCTCCTCTGCCCCTCACTTCATCCTATCACCATCCTCCTCGACTCATTTGAATAAATTAACACCCCTTGATGTATTGTGTGCATGAACTGTCACGTCAGTGCAAACACAACCACGTTCGACCGAACACACACACTCAGATACACCTCTGAGGAGAGGAAGAATGTACGTATCCTGTGTTTTTGCCATCATGCATAATGATTATGCAGACACATTCTCAGATGCGCTGATACACCACAGCAATCACGCATGCCTAGTTCAAAGCGAGCACTCCATTGGCTGACTGGGAGCTTCCTGTTGAAGTGCTGCTACGTGGCGGTGTGTGATTCGTATTAGCCTAATGCAGAGGCTCGTTTTCTCAAAACAGCGTGCAGAGGTAGGAAAGGTAGACTGACGCCTGACACATACTGCTGTTTTTTGTCTGTTGCCAAAGTACACTTTGAGGCACTGATGTGATGTGATCATCAGTCCTTCATTTGACCAATCGAGGGATTTTAGATTGATCCAACCAATCACAGTCCTCCATCATCATCATGCCTGCATCTCTCTTCATTCTCACTTATAAGCCCATGACCTTGCGCAGAGCAACACAGCAGTTCCATCTCCTCCCGGTTCTAACCTTGCAGAGGTTTCCTTTTGGTCAGGGCAGTGGACTAATCCTGGATGTGTTAGTACGATCCTAGCAAGTTAGGCATGAGAGAAAGGCTCTGATTGACTAATCATTAATATCCACAGTTCTTTCTCTCCTTCTGGATTCCCGGTCAACAAACTTCCCTCCTCTGACTTTCCCCTTCTCTGCTGCAATGAAGCAGAGTGATGTAGAGAGGATTGGAGATGAGTCACATGCTGCTGTGGTTTTGAGCAGCATGCACGGTGGCCTGTACCGGACTGCAGTCCTCGCTGATGACAGTCACTGGAGCTGTCTGCTGCTCGCTTTTTCTCCGGCCTAGCAGCTTAGCCTGTCAGTCTCCATGATGATCACTGGCTGACATAGAGTATAACCTGCTTGAAGCTGCCAGGCCGACTCACATCATCCCCATAACCATCTTGCCACATTGACTTTAGAAGACAGACTTCATGTGTTATCATACAAGGCAGCTGGGTAATGCTTCTGTGCACAGATAGCTTTAATGTACCCAGGACAAGTTTGTCTTTGGGAAAGAAAGAGTGGACCTGCAGAGCACGTGATACAAAAACTGTTTTAGTCTCCAAAAAAAGATTTTCGATCTACTTTTAAACAGGGATCGGAAGTCCAAGTGGTTTTGCTCCAAAAGATTGAGACAGGAAACACCAAAGTGATCACTCTGTGTCACTGTTTCACATGTTGTGTGTGCGTGTGTGTGTGTGTGTGTGTGTGTGTGTGTGTGTGTGTGTGTGTGTGTGTGTGTGTGTGTGTGTGTGTGTGTGTGTGTGTGTGTTATGAGTGAAAGACACAGATTGTGTGGGCTTGTGGGTTTCCACCTGTTACATAATAAAAGAGTGGAGGCAGAATGTGAATCTTTTTCCTGCCACATTGAAGCGGCTCCTCAGTGGGAGTGAAAGAGTTCCAGCTTTCCTCAGTTTCACCAAACAACCAGGATGGATCCTGGTTGTGACTCACTACATTGTTCATGGAGCCTAGCAGAGGTTATAGGTGAATAATGAGCAGGATGAAGTCTGAGAGAAAAAGTCACTTGGAAAATGTTTGTTAAACCCGACAATGAACAATGAAGAAATACAAACGTGCAGGTGTGTAAAATTGAAGCTGGGTTTATTCGGAGTCCTGCTCGGGTGCAAATGCATTGTAACTGTAATTGCAGCGTTTGTGTAAACTTTCTCTCTTTTCACACCTGTTATTTAAAGCAGTTCCAACGTTTGTCAGCCATGCATGTCTGCATATTTAAGTCCGTTTCAATGTCATCAAAATTTGGATGGATAAAAAATGTTTCTTCATTGCTCTTGCATGTGTTTTATGACTTTTAGTAACAAATCTGTCAGACTCTCAGCAACCAGGGAACCACTCGTGCTAGGGCGCAGCGCAGCGCGCATTTCTAGGGCTCTGCAGGTTGCGCTCCTGTTCCTCCGTGTCACCTGCAACTCCAGCCTTGCCCCCTCTATTCCGCCACATCGGTAAACTTATGCGCACCCTTGTATGTGCGCACAAACTGTCCAGATGATTAAAAAATGTTGTAATGCAATTTTGTGGTTGATGTGCACACCCAGAACGCATCTTTCTCACTTTGAACTTACACTGAAGACAGGAAAATCTGAGTTTGCAAGCAGTTGACTGGATGAAAACATCTCCTTGGTGCGCGCAACGCAGCGGTTCCAGAGAGGTTTTTGTTGCACGGCTCCACAGTGATACGCGGGCTTTCATCTCTCCACTACGGCGCATCATTTGGATACCGGGGGTGGGGCGACAGCTCTGTGTCCCGGTAAGGGGAGGAGAGAACAGGGAGCAGAGGCGGTTCTATCTCGGCTCTTCGTGTTTCGGGGCTGGAGAGTGTGGGTCCACGGCTGGAGAGACCGCCGGGACCATCAGCAGAACCAGTCCAGCACGGAGCCTCGCCTGGCCGAACGCGGCGCCGTGCACTCTTCTCGGGGGACTGCACAACATTCCTGTGAAATATAACTGCTATTAATGGCATGTGGCTTGTAACTTTACTTCTGCTGTATTCTTTGCAAGAAGGTAAGCTAGAATTAAGTCTTTTCTTTAATTTTGCCAGTCTGCATGTTCTCTTTTTCCAGTGCCGAAGTTGCATCCTGATGGATGATGTTGGGCAAAATTAATAATGCCACGAAGAAGACTTAGGGATGTGGAATCAAACACTTAATTTTCTTCTAAACGGGACTTATAACTTTTTATTAACGGTCTGGGAGGATGTTTGTCTCCTCTACCATTATCTCCAAAGCTGCTGCTTGGATGCATCTTGCTTCTTCGACCCCCAATAGTAATTATCTGATCAGACGGAAAAATGATAAGAACAATCTGGTTATGACCATAAAATTTGCATGAAACGCACTTGGATCAGTAAAAGAAAAAAGCAGAGGTCTCCAAATAAGACAAATAAACAGCGTATGCAAAAGGAGATGACATTAGCATTTTGCATGATGAATATGTGTCGTGAATATGGAGGCTGTTGAAAATGAGGGGAGGCTGATAAGGATCTGCAGGCGCGCGCACGGTTTAAGGGCTCACCTCCAGCGCGGGTGCTGACCGCAGCTGAGGGCTATTTACGCTCAAAAGTCCAAGTGGAAATAGACGTTTGTTGTTTTTACTGACTTTTTAACACCCTCTTCGAATGTTATCATCCCACTGAGTGTTTGTGTGCGTGTGTGTATGTGTGTGTGTGTGTGTGTGTGTGGGGGGGGGGGGGGGGGGGGGGGTAAAATAAGGAAAATTATGGAATCCCACTAGGGTTGAAGCTTTCTTAATCTTTTTGTAAAATATTGTGCAAGGAGCGCTGGAGCGTGCGCTAATTTTTCCGCGCGGCTGCAGGGCAACAAGGGTCAATCTGAGTCAAACTGATGCTGAGGATATTGAGCTCTGGACTTTCATTTGCAGATACCGTTCCCCAGTTGGGTGTCTAAAATACCAGCCCGTGCATCAGAGTTGGTTTTCTGTGATAAAATGTCGGAAGCGCAGTGTGCAGACTCAGTTGTTATCATCCCCTGGTCTAATTATTCATCCACCATTTTCTGTGCCACCACATGCTGATTGGCTTTGCTCTGAATACTGCAGATGCGAGATAATGAACCTTTTTCTCTGTTTGTTTCGCAAATGAAATGTGTTCCTCTTCATAAATTATGTTTTACCACTTTGTGAGAACGCAAATTTTAAAAACGAAGAGCCAAGGGGCTTCATTTATCATCTAATTTCCATTAGTTGCCATTACATCAAACTGAATATTTCATGAGACTAACAATTTAGTTTGTAAGGTGGTTCTAAGTTTTTGTTTTTGATTCCGGTTTCCTGATGCACCCTACTGCTTCCACGGGCCTTGCCAGTGCCCTCTGCCACTCTGCAGCTGCGGCGTGCACTTTAGAGCTGTTTTGTTGTATGATTACAGGGTCTATTTCGATTTTACGCACTGTACATCACTCTGTCCCGTGACTGAAAGAGATGCATCGTTCGTGTGTGTGCGTGCGTGTGTGTGTGTGTGTGTGTGTGTGTGTGTGTGTGTGTGTGTGTGTGTGTGTGTGTGTGTGTGGCGAAGGGAGGAGGCTGGGGGCTGGAAACAGCCACTGGAGCGGAAAGAGTGCTTGAGATGGGAGAGATGTAGATAACGCAGTGGAAAACAAACTTCTGTTTTCCGTTGCTTTTAAAGCCAACTTCCCATCATTTTGCATGGTTCAGCAGCTATTTATCACATCACCTGGACATTAGGTCTTTCAGAAAGTCCTAAAGGTAAAATCTAGTTGTTTTGAACGTGAAAATGAGGCTCTATTATCATACATGCATATGCATTAGTACTGCGTATTTTCCTGGCTCCGCCGCGCCTCCTATTGCTCACGCATCTCTTTCAGTTTGTTAGTTTTCTGCTTAAGACAAGTCGTGTTGGATAGTTAAAACACATTTATCATTTTTTCACGTCTTTAATTAGGCATTCATTTTGTCGCTGCTGGCCGTTTTTTGCTTCAGTTTGGCTGCATATCAGCACACCTGCAGCCATGTCTGCGTAGAGGAGGCGATAGCAGGAGGATGGGAGGGAGAGGGGATGGGTAGATGGAAAATAGATGCGGCGGAGGAGGGGGGGATACACTCATTCTTCTTTGTCATGATTTGGGAGGTTGCTTGTCATTTTATGGAAATAAAATTGAGACAAACTCAGTTGTAGGGCTGCGTGTGAATCTCCTCCCAGGCCTGACAGGCCAGAGCAGGGCCTGGGAAAACCCATGCTCAAGGTGACGTTTGTAATTAATATCATTTTGGTTCATACTCAAAATATGCTTTACTTTAACCTTTCTAAAGGATTTCTGATCTGCAGATGTTAATATTTTAAATTAAAGAGTGGCATGGAGACTGAGATGGAGAGGGATCTTTTGCAATAATCATTTTATCAATTAATGCGGGACTGGTTATATCCGGTTTTGACCGACTGTCTCCTACCAGTCCTGAGCTTCTTGAAATCAAACTTGATTTTTCACAACGTTGCTTCCTCAAACGCAAAACATTGAAGCATCCATGAGTCTTATTTCTTTGTACATTTGAAGCGTATGTGCCTGATGTGTGCTTTTGTGAAAGCTTGAATAGATTCGTGCGTAAATTCGTGCATCCCTGAACGTTATCTTTTAAGTTTGAACCGAAGGTTTGTTCTTCGGGGATTGCTTGAGTGTTTTAATTTTGTTATTTTCAAGCCAGTAAGATTCTTGCGCATGTTTTTAAGATCGAGCCGCGGTGCTTGTGTGTAAAATCGGAAACAAAATATTTTCAGAGCAGAGAAGCGCTTGAAGGGGGAACCCATGAACTGCTGTATGACTCACTCTGATGACTTGGTTACACCCGCACAACGGACTTAAAGATGTTTGGATTGTAAAACTGAGCAGGACAGGCAGGACGATAAAACCTGGTGGGATATCAAATAACATCAAAATATGCGATAATAAAAAAGAATTTAGTGCAAAATTCAAATGAACTATAATCTGTTTCTTTATTATTTCCACAAAATGATCCATCTTGAGTTGAAAAGTCAAAGCCTTGACAATCAAGGCAACCTGTGCGGTTTTTTAAGTGACACAGCTCCAGTGAAGAAAGTTTCACTCTCAAGTTGATTTGCTCCCCTCGTTTCGCGCAGAGAAGAAAATCAACAGTTTTGATTGTGAAGAGTTTGAGCTCTGCGCTTGGCAGATGAACGTGTGACAAAGGTCACTCGGTCTCACATTCTGTCTGAACATTTTGTTTATTTTGAAATCTTAGTTGGTCAGTGGGTGTGAAGAGCTGCTTTCAGTCTTAAAGGAAAATAAAACAAAACACAATATGTCAACATTTAAATCTATAAACAACTGAGACGCGAAAGACAAGTTAAAGCTTCTCATCCACCATTCAAACCCTGCTTTCTTATAAGCAACGTTCCATGTTTTAAATATATTTTAACTTGATTGCGTCAGTGTCCTTATTCTGACAGAACTCAGCAGCTTTCACAAGCCTGCGCATCAGTGGAGTCCCGTGCGCTCTCCTTTACGCACGGACAACCGGACGGCGTCATCTTAAATAACAAAACTAAATAAATAAATAAAAATAAATTGCCCAAACAAATCCTTGGAATGAAACAATCCTAATCAATACCTCTAGTCTATCACTCCATGTCCCTGTTTCTCTCGGTCTGCCTATCAAACACTTTATAGACCTGTCTAAGAGGAGGGGGAACGCCTCCACTCACTCTGTCTCACTTCAGCTCCGGAAATCATCTGCTTCAGGCATAAGATGCGGATTTTACAAACATTGAAACAGCTGCCAAGTATTTGGAACTGCACATACTATGGGTCGGTGTTGAGTTGTTCCCCCCCCCCCCCCCCCCCCCCCCCGTGGTTGCGTGCGCGCGTCTGTGCAAGTCCTTTCATTTCTTTCTGCCTGCAAGGTGAACCAGAGATCATCACTTAGACACACGTCAAAATTTGGATTTATTATGGAGTTGATAAGCATCATAACATCACACTTTGTCATCCTTTGAAGTTTTGCAGCATCACTGCAATGTGTCTTAGCATGCATTCCTCTGTAGAGCTTCATGTTTTGCAACACACAAAATCAACTCGTTGTTAAGAACCTATGGGTGAAATGTCAAACGCGTTTACATGACTTTGTCTGTGACTGTTTAAAGGAGAAGTGTCAGAAAGGAAGAGAGAAAGGGGGATTTATGACCCTGCTTTTCTATGCACACGATGGTGATCGTGTGAATCTCAATGTGTGTGTGTGTGTGTGTGTGTGTGTGTGTGTGTGTGTGTGTGTGTGTGTGCGCGTGTGTGTGTGTGTGTGTGTGTGTGTGTGTTTGAATGAATCTAGATGAGACAGAAAAAGCTGCATTATGCATAGAGGTACACCATAGGCAATATCCTTGCTTCTGCAGTATAACTATTCATACTCCATTTTCACGTCGCATTTGAAAACAGCGTGCTAATGTATCAGAGCGAATATAGCAAAGAGATGTTTCAGTCAATAACAAACCGTAAAAGATACATGCAAAAAAAGGTGAAGATTTAGAAAAATCTAAAGAGTTTGACATACAGGTTTCTGGATGTTTTCACCTGAAATGTCTTCTTCATCGTAATCAGTGCATCCCGGTTTAGAGAAGGGGATGAAAATACAGTCCATGAATGAACGAGTGCTGCTCCTTTGTGGCTTATTAATCTACAAGAAAAAAAGGAGCCTGGGGCAGTGGAAGGTGTTTGGGAACATTTGAGATTTGATTCCTGAATAAAGACAAACATCAAGGTTGTTGCATTCCGGGCAGGCGTTGCAGACTTGCAACGTTAAAACCTACCTACCTGGTTACTCCACATACGTATTTCATGAGCATTTTTTAACTCAGAAGTACCCCTGAATGACTTAGTTGTTCGTCCTTTTATCAAAACTTATTTTGAGCCTGAGAGGTTTCCTGACATTTATGCAGTCAGCAATAGTAGATAGGTTCGTTTTTAAAATTTCTCTGCAAAAATGTTGTTACACGTTATCAGTAAGGGGCTAACACCACT